TTCGTGTTAGAAATTTTATCAACACGCCCACTCGCGCACTGTGAATTCTCCGCACATTTTCCTGCTGTATGCTCAGATAGGCTCACTCCCAAGCAACTGACTTGGATATTTGCTTTTTCACATTAGCCCCTCTGGAAAATGTCTGGAAAACATCCAGACTTCAGTCCATGTCTGCAAAGCAGCTGTTAAGTATACAAAGACAACTTTAAAATTTCAATTTAGCATTGTTTCCTGCCTTTAAGACAATTTTCACGAATTTATCATCACTTCTTTCTCTTCTTTCCTTTACTTACGACTCCCACACCCCCTCCATCACCTCCTCACCTATGAGGTCAACAGACAATGGGCCACTTCAAAAGTCCAGTATGTCTGAGACATTCTTTCTGGAGAGCGAGAGAACAATTATAGCTGCTCTTTTGGTCTGGGTAGGAAGTTGCCTAAAAAAAGAAAGGAGAGGATGCAGGGACAGAATAAAATGGGGGGAGTGACCTGGATAGAAAGAAAGAGGGAGGAAGCCACGGCATCCTGCAGTGACACGGCCGCAGCCGTGATAAAACAGTATGACATATCTACGGTGTGCGGAATGCTTGGTATTCACCATAAATAGGTCTGGATTGTTTGTTCAGATATCTATTTTCCCCTCAGTTTCACAAGTTGTTTTCTTTCTTTTTTATCATTTCAGGCTCTGAATGACAGGAAGGGAAAAGGAAAGAGGAAGAGATAAGAGGTTAAACTTGGACGTTCCTTTCCCAGAGCGGAGACTGGGCAGCGACGCAGAGAAGAGTGGGTGTAATGGCTTTGCTTACGCATTGACTGCCAGAAAAAGAATTATTCCATGACAACTTCCAGGAAAATTGAAAGAGGATATTTGTAATGTCTTTTGCATCATGTCCTTGACACACATGCAGTCGTGCTTACGTTTTTCTGTGGAACAGGAACAGCCTCTTTGTTTGTACATTGATTTAAGATTTAGTTTTTTCATAGGCCTAGATGAGAATGAATGAATTTGAGTTATGATTACAAATCCAAGCAGATGCTGAGTCATGAAGAAGTATTAAGATATTATAAACACATTATCGAAATGAGTGAGAATTCTTTTTTATTTTCCATATTTGTGGTACATGAGATACTTCCCTTCTTTTACGTATAGTCTTAACAACCATCATTATCATTATCTGAATGATTATCTGTGTTTGGAATCATGTGTACGAAGAATAAATTGTGTTGAGAAATTTAAAAGACGAAGGGAGAAGAACAAGGATTTGACTTCATCACCAACTCTCCCAGTCAGGATATTTTTGACCATCACAGGCGTCATCGCTGCAGTTGGTCTGTGTGAGAGTATTTGTCTATGTGAGACATCACAGCTGAGAAGACGGGCCAGCTTCCGGTCTCAACAAGCTGAGTGTGTGTGTGTGTGTGTGTGTGTGTCTATTAGAACAATGGATGACAGTTGTTCCATTTTTGTGGAAGCAGTGATTTAGAGAGTCATGGAGGGATGAAGTGTGTCAGTGTGTGTGTGTGTGTGTGTGTGTGTGTGTGTGTGTGAGTTACTCAACTGCAGGTAGTTCAGACCCAGGTTAGGCCGTGGGCCTTTCTGTGTGGAGTTTGTTCTCTCCACACCTGTGTGCGTTTTCTGTGGGTGCTTTGGATTCCACCCAAAAGTTAGGTGAACTGGAGACTCTAAACCGTCCAACCTCAGCCGAAGCAGGATCTGAGCGGAGCACCCTCTGACTGGGAGGGCACTGAGAGTGAAATGTAGTTTGTCTAACATGCATCACAGCAAAGAAACTTAGACTTTTCTCTCAGGGCTTTTTTTTTACTGCTATACCCCCTCTTCCTCTTCTTCTTCTTCTTCTTCTTCTTCTTTTTCTTCTTTTATTTGCTGACAACCAAGAGAATTTCGTGGCTGAGACCTAAAGGGTCTGTTGGTTGACAAATGCCATTCGCCCTTGCTCAGCGGGGAAAGCTGCATGTTTGGAGCCCCCTCAGAATGTGTCTATCCAGCACAAATTGCGCATTAGGAAAACAGTTGCTGCAGGGCCAACCACAAGCATCCGGGCAAAATCCCTGGGTTTGTCGAAAGGCTCCTTCTCATACTCTCTGTCCTCCACTATCTCCCTCTTTCTTCCTCTCCGCCGTCTTGGAGAGCTGTAACAGATGGGGAGACCAATGTCAGCATTTCCAGTTGGATCAGCTGACGGATATGCATCCTCTGTTTCCGTTCCTGACAGTGTGTGTGTGTGTGTGGGGGGGGGGGGAAATAGCATGCATACAGTAACGTTGACAAAGCATCTCTGTTTTCATGGTGAAGCCACCTGAACAGGAAGAGAGCGAAAGAGTGCTGAGGGCTGGAAAAGGCTGATTATTTGGTGCAGTTTCACCCACTGGATCAGAAGAGCCTTGTGATTAAAGGAGCATTACACTCTATAAAGCTGTTTTCAGACGTGATCTCCAGAAAATGTCTGACATCTCCGAGGTGGCGGTGCTCTTTTGTTGGGATAACTAATGAAGACCGGCTTCAAAATCAAACTTTATATTGAAACTTTTCTGAAGTTGATGAGACCTCACATTTAGGAACTCATCTCCCATGAAAGTACATCATGTGGAAGAAAGACGAAGAGAAACAGCAAGTTTGGGTAAATAATAATAAGAAATATATACATTTAGATTTGTGAATGCATTGAAAAGAGAAAATACTGGAAGATGTAAAAAAATAAGGGAGGGTAAGAGCAGAGAGGAACAAAAACAGAGAGAGGGGTGGACGGCAGGAAGAAAATGATGAGGAGAAAGCAATTGGACAGAGGCGGAGGTTAAAGCAGGCTGAAAACTGAGAGACGGACAGGAAGGGAGAGTAAAGAAAGACGGAATTGAGGAAAGGGAGACGAGTAACAGATGAGAGAATGTGTCCCAGTTCCTGGGTGTGTGCGTGTTGTTCTGCATGTGTGTGTGTGTGTGTGTGTGTGTTTATGTGTCTGGTAGAGTGGTTTGTGTTGCATGGATCTTGGCTGCTGTCAGGCTAGGGGACTCCCAGAGGAAGCTAGTCCTTGTTCAGTTTACAGTGAATGATTCCCTTCCTGCCCTGCACAGCCCTGCAGGCCAACGGCCAACCAGGCTTGTGTGTGTGTCCTTGTGTTGTATTGGTTCATGTGGTCTGGTGAACAGAAGGAGAGAGAGCGTCCTGTAAATGAGAGGTTGTGTATTTTTTGTTTGTTTGGCCTTTAGAACAAACCTGTACCTATTTGAGTATAAACTATTTTCTAAAAATGATTTTGTATTTTTAATCACTAAATGATCTATTTTTTTATTTGATCATATGGATCATATTTTTTTATTTGATCATATGGATCATATTTTTTTATTTGATCATATGGATGTTTCTTAAAGATGAATTTCACAATGTTTTATCCCTAAAATTGTTGGGTTTTCAGAGAGTAAAATAAAATATAGGATTACAGGATGGTAATAAAAGCTGATAACAGAAATCTGATGGTGGGAGATGATAGGAGACCTTTAACTATAGACCATAGGTATCAAGGCCACATAAAAAAAAAACACATTATATTTCAAGCTCTGCATTTATGCTGCAAAAAAGACAAAACATAGACAGCAACACTCATTTTGCAGAATATCAATATTTTAAATTGTTGAAAGTGTTATTATTATTAAGTGTTTTCTTGCATCAGCAAAGGGAACTGGGGTTTAATACATTTAAATGTTGGATCATTTTTACTGGAAGTATAAAGAAGTATTGCTTAATTTGTAGCAGTAATCTTTCACACTCTTGTTACTCAGAAAAGCCATAATCCTCCTGCGCTGATCGCTGCCAACTCTGTTTAAAATCCCACAATAATATGAAACTTTGTTGGAGCCATGAATCAGCTCCACTCCTCCCAAACATCTCAAACCACGTTCCAGAGTTTCTTCCAGGATCTTTTTCCTGGCACAGCCGCCTCTAAAACAACGTTTCAGGCGATGTTCTGTTTCAGCCGTTAGACATTAAGTTTGGATTAGACGAAGAATGTCGCTGCTTCCAAAAATGTAGTGAAAAATGCTCGATTGGGGTGAACGGAGTTCTTTCGCTGGTATCATCTGTCACAACTTTATGGTCACAATAATTTCAACTGAAGAGCAGAAAGAATTCACTGAAGCTGGTGGATGGAGGTTTAATGAATAGTCAGGCAAAATGAACATCTGCTCAGGGGCCAAACACACACAGGTCCCCAAATGACCCTGGTGATTTCTGCAGCTTGATTATTTGAAATTTGAATCACAAAAGTAATGAAAACTAGATTTTTTTAAATTCTGATTAAAGGTTCAGTAAAAACCCTCATAAGCCCTAGATGATTATTATTTGTATTTGTTTTATTGTTTTGCTGATTCTGTACTATATGACTACCTAGTTCAAGAAATCATTTTTAAAGATTAAATTTTCTGATATTTGAAAAATAATGTGAGATTATAAACTGAAAACAAAAATAAGAATCATGTCTTTATTATTTCTGTTTATTTTTCTATTTCATATTTTTTATGTACATGGCCTGGTGTAGTATAGTGTCCCACACTTTTCCATAAACATGTGTGTCTCTCATGTACAGTCCACAGAAGGTTAAACATCTGCACTTGAGGGCACATGTGTGGTTTCTACTTTTTCCATGTGTGATTTACTCAGAATGGGATTTGGAAAACATGTAATGATGATAAACCAAGACTCAAACAGTGCCAGCCTGAGTGAAAACACTACTGAACATAAAGCAATGCTGCTATCTAGTGGTCAAACACGATTTTTAAGGTTTGTGTCCAAAGGAGTACCATAAACATCTGGTAAACATCTGTAAGAGTGTTAATTTACTATTAGAACCAGATGGTTCTGTGCTCTGTCAGAAACACACAAATAAAATATTCATTTAATTTTATGAATGCACAGTAATAAATGTTTATTCTCTTCAGTGCATTTTTTTAAAAGAACAATAATCACAGTCTATAGGCCGAGCAAATCAAACAGTTTATTTGTTCACAGATAACATTGCATGTTTTGTTTTTTTAACATTGTCTTAAGAAAAGGTGATTGCCTTAATATATATGTACAAATTATTCTTGTATATGTACAAATGTTGAGGACAATGGTCAGTGAGATTAAAACTTAGCCATAGCAATAACATGTTATAAATAAATATTCACAATAGTAATTCAAACCAGTAAAATGTCACAGCAACATGTGTTTCCACCACAGACTGTAAAGATGGACGCTCCTCAGAAGTGAGTCCAAAGCCTCTCTACTTCCACCTGATGGCTGGCTGCAGGATGTCGGTCATAAACCTGCTTTTCTATCAAACTACATATTATATTAATTATGTTTAAGAAATGCACATTTTGTTTGTTTCTGTTTAATCAAATTCATCTTAGGGCCTGATGGAATTGCATTCTTCGGGGTATGAAGGGAAGGCATAATAAGCTAATGCTTCACTCTACAACTTTTTATTAGTTCTATTCATTCTTTTTTGCAAACGTATTGCCTTCTTTTCTGTTGTAACAAATCCTTTGTCTAAATATGTTTTATGGACCAAAATTAACTGAAACTGACATTTTTCTTAAAGATGTTTTTTTGTCATTTTAGTTAGTTCTTATCACACTGATATGTGCAACTGCTCATTTTCCCAGTAGGTTTGGTTATAATTATCCTGTAACACATATAAATGGGGTGAAACGTCATGATTGTCAGCTGAGACTGACTCATGATTGGTTGAGCGTGTGTCTCACTTCAAATTCTGTATAAGTCTGTATCTGGGAAACTGAAGTTTCATGTCTGGATAGTGGGGGAGGTGTAGATGCATCATCCATCTGTCCACAGTCTTTGATCCCAACAAAATGCAGAACAATAAATAATCATGTGGAAACTTCTCCCATGGACGATGACGCCTAATGAGAAATATGTTGTGTTACCTCTGTAGATCACAACAGAAAGGTCAACTCAACAATAAGTTCAATGAAAACTGAAAAAAAGTCTTTACATTTGCTTTGCTACACCTCAAGACTGTCAGCTGACCTCGGCACATACTTACAATATAATAATAAATTGTCGTCATGGCTAAGGAAGCTATAAACAAGCGTGGTGCTTTAACCCTTGCGAGGAAACTGATAATATAAATTGCAGTCCTGTTGATGTTTCTTATATTGTCTGATTTCATAAAATCAGCTTTTGAAGATGCTGACATTCCACATAGAACAGAAATGGTTTCAGAAACAGGCTCTTGCAAATTACAAGGCCTAACTGAGGCCTACTGGAATAATTCTGTTATTATTCCATGTGCTTTGTTTACTTGAGTTTGAAGCCACATGGTGGATATCGGAGTTTTTTCTGATTTAATGATTAGCTTGATGGCGGACCAACTGTGGAACTTTGTATAAGTGGTGCATCGCTGTCTCCCAGCAGTGGTATTTCATACCAGGGTTCAAAGTAAACACTCATTTATTAGGACTGACATGCACTTATATCATAAACATGTCCTGTCTGCTGTCAGCGGGTGTATATGTGCTCATAGTCAGAAAGTATTATGCATTTATAACCATGACTAAACTCTTTACATGAGGCAGAATAGTCAGATCATATGTATCCTGCATAAATAAGTGAAAACACTGGTTTATAGATTATTTCTATGAAAACAAACTGTAGAAACATTATTATGTGTTTGCCTCAGGCTTCCCCAGCCTAGCATAACATTTCACTATAAATGTGCATGTTGAGCGTGTCCATGTTTCCTGTGCCGTCTTGCTTTACATGTTGCCCACAGGCCTTGGCAGGAAAAAGATGGCCTTCTGACCTTGGTGTGTGTCCGGTCCCGGTTTGGGTTGCCCATTTCTCTTCAGTGCGACATACCAGTTGTACTTCTGAGAGCGATACGTGTTGTAGTGGTTTTCTTCATACTTCTCCAGGAAGTAACACTCGTCATTCATCGCTTGCTAAGACATGAAAGTGAAATGGGATTTGTTTATAGGCAGACAGGAGAGTAAAGAGTAAAGAACACCGAGAAGTGCTGGAAATGATAAAGAATTTATATTGGAATCTATATTATATTTTGTAATTCCTTTCTGGCTTATGTGCATCCGTTGTTTTATGTGTGTGAGTCTCAGGCCAGCTGTTTGGGGGGGCGGCAGGCATGTTTTTGTCTTCTGATTAAGTCCTGATGCAAGCCCTTTAAACCAGGATTCAGGGGTCTAGTGTGCTAGAGTTCTCACGCTGGAATGCCATTTATCTGGAGTTGATTGCATATTGTTTTTTGGATGCAGGATTGATTAAAGTCCAAAACTCATGTTTTTGAGATGTTGAGGTCAATCCTCTATATGGATACAAGAGCCATTGCAGAATTAGAAATTAACATTTTCTGACATAAAGCTGAACAAGCGATTGTTGCTATCTGGTAATTACAATATAAACCAGAATAAACAAGATATAAACAAAGATATATAAAAAAGGCACATTTCAGATGTACTGCAATTAAAACATCAAATCATTCACTGTCTCAGATTTTGCCGACTGAACAAAACAATAAATAAAACAATAAAATTGTTCTGCTCAGTTTTCCCCCACAAATAAATCTTCTTTCCAACCAATGATCTGTGAGTGTTTTCACTCTTCTGTTCTGTTTATGGATTAAAGTAACGCTCATTAATATTTTGAGTTTCTCAAATAATTTTCATGGATTATTTATTGAAAGAAAATGTGTGTATGTCACAAACAATCTTCATCAAACGACCTCTGCTGCTTTTTCATTCAAATTGAAAATATGCAAAAAACTTAAACTACATTAAACTACAATTAGTGAGTTTTAAACTTGACAAACAAAACATATTTATGACTGAATCTTAAACTATTTCTTACACAGACACTAGTTTTGGTCTTTCCATCCAAAAAAACCACAAAATGTAAAACTCACTGATCCATAGAGGAGTCCATTTTTGTTCATTGCCAGGAACCTTCCTGTCACCTCCCCCTTGATGACCACCACTCCCACACTCACAGCCTTCAGTCTGAGGATGTCTGCAACACAAACGTACCACACTGCTCAATATGTAATGACACACAACAAGATAAATCCATTGAAACTATCATTATTATCCTGAGGTAAATATTCCAGGTCCTGTGCACACACAGTAGCAGCCCACTCATGATTGAAATGAGCAGCTTTTCCAGAACGACTGGGCTTAAATGCGTAGAGAACGTAAACAGTTCTTTGAAGTAATTTCCTCATTCATGAACCTTCATACGTCTTCTCTTTTGTTTCTCATTATTTGAACAACCATGAAGACCTTTAAAAGTCAAAATAAGGAACAGTAGCAATGAGTTACAGTGAAAACGAAACATTATGTTGAATTAATTCTTTCCATTTCAAAGACTTGGTTACATATCCTGAACTAAAACAGTAAATCACAAATCAAAAAGAAAAAAGAAAGATTTCTTCCTCACCATAGGGGTCATTTTCCTGCCTCCCACCACTCACAGTGCCATCAGGTAAAATCCTCAGATGATAGCCTCCGTTCTGGCTGTAGAGCCTGGTCAGTGTCCGGTGCTCCTGCCTGGACAGATCCAGAGACGTGGATCTGAACGACAGCACAGTGAAGTCTCCCTCAGTCATCCTTCACAGGGTCTGAAGCCTGGACGAAGCAGAGCAATGTGCCTGCAAGTATAGAGATCCACAGTGTTGTGTTACCTGGACTTAGTTGGGACTCAAGAGAAAACAGGAAGGGGAGGATAACACCGCCTTTATGATGAGATAACTACGGGAAATGATTCCCTCCCCTGCCTCTCAGATACTTTCCCATCTAGCCCTCTTTCTTCCTCTCTATTTTCATCTGTCAGCCTTTTAAATAATTCTTGTTATTTTAAATCATCTGATCTGGATGGCAGAACCAACACATGTCCGAATTTGTTTCCTTACAGAACATCAGTTAGATTCTTTCTTAGTGAAAATAATTTCCAGATGACTTTCACCTTAAACTGATGTGAGGTCAGACAACCAAACAAACAAAGGGTTTTACTCCCCCCTGGAAATGTTGCAAGACCTGCAACAGCCTCCCAACTAAAGGCAATAGTTTAACTCATGACATTTTAATCCATTAGGGAAACAAAATGTTCCTGATACTGTTTGAAGTAAACCCCCTTTGTATTAACACCCTGCGTTCCATTGGCTTCACCCCTCATTTTTCTAACAGCAGCCACTTGAAATCCAGCCAACTCCATCTTTCTTACCCCCAAACTGAATTCTTCCTCATTGAGCTTTTCCAAAAACAAACAAGCCCATTATAAAGCCACAAAATCAATATAATCTCTCGCCTGTTTCCTCCAGGGTAGAGATCCCAGAACAACAGTAGCTGTCATGGAATTGAAAAAGGAGCAGAGTAGCAGGGATGGACGCAGTCAGCGGTGGTAATGTAAAAGTCTGGTCTTTTTTTATCATTAGTAGCTGGAGGTAGAGTGGAGCAGTTGTAGCCAAGCTGGCCCACATCTGGAATGTCTTGGAGAGGTACGAGAAATAGAGGCAGCAAGAGGGAGAGTGAAAAACAGAGTGGCGCAAAGCCACAAGAGGAATGTGAGGCCTTCCCGCTCACAGCCTGTTCTCCTGAGACCGGGACTCGATCTGGGTGTTGTGTTACTGGACATGAGAGCCACACTGGTCCACAGGGACCTTTGGCCAGATGTGGTGAGTGATAGTGACGTCAAAAGTTCGAGCGGTGGTTGAGTCAGAGTGCAGTAGCGTGGGAGGAGAGGCTGAACCTGTTTGTTTTTATTCGGGCGAACAGCTGAAGGTGATGACGCCATCACCTCTTTGACTTACCAAGAGCATGGCTACCTTTGACCCTTAACATGGGTTAACACACAAAACACACAAAAAGCCAGGATAAAGATAAAATAATATGAGATGATAATATGAGATGAGACGAGATAGAAGATAAAGACAGATGAGATGAGATAGAGGAAAAAATGAGACAAAATGAGATAGACAATAGAGGAATGACAATAACATCAGATGAGACGAAATGGACGAAAGAAGATAAGATAAAATGAGATGAAATGATGTAGAAGATGCACAACAGACGGTTCTATGAGACAGGACAGACAATAGCCAATGAGAGGAAAAGAGATGAGATGAGATTAGACAGATGATAAAATGAGATGAGATGAAATGAGATAGGAGGAGATGAGACAAGACAGATGATGGCAATAAAATGAGATGAGACCGGCGATAAACCGTACACAATAGATGATTATATGAGACGGGACAGACAACAGCCGATGAGATAAGATTAACGATAGGCAATAGACAATAAGATGAGACGAATTTAGAAAGATGATGAAGAGGAGATGAGATGAGATAAAATGAGATGAGATAGACAATAGATGATAAGATGGGATGAGACTTAAGTAAAACTAATAAATAAGGTAACATGCAATATAAACACAACACAATATATACATTGTAAAATAAGAAATGAGCATTTAAATGAAAATCAATTCCTCAACATAAATTGTTATCAACTTGCTTTCCTGTCACCATATTTCACCGTGATCACCTTCTAACTAGACTCTCACTCACACCACACGTACCTGTGAGAAAGTCAGGGGACAGTGGCCCAGATGAGCCAGCATCTCCTCTTGACGTGAAACCAGCCTATGATGCCTTTAGACCCATACACGTTCTTCCTCTTGCTGCCACCAGAGAAGTGTCTGAACTGGAGGGAGTTGAGTACGTACGCCTATATCTGCTCTCCACCCGCCTCTCCTCACCCCACCATCCTTCTAACAACGTCAGAGGAGCCATTTTAACAGGCCAACGTCAGGACCAAAATTACCGCACTGGAATTGAGAGAGAGAGGGAGAGAGGGAGACAGAGTGACGAACGTGTCCACGCCATGGAGGCCTGGAAATGAGCGGGGTAGCCTGTCTGACTTAGCACTGATACATTCTTACAGCGGTGTCCTCCTGGAGACACTGGTGAGCAACACAAACATTTATCACAGACACAACCAGAATGACTTCGGTTGCCAGAAGGAATCATACATAATGTCCACGCTGCTGAAACCCAAGCCAGGTCTCAACGGTAGAGCGAGGTCACGTCATTGGAATTGCTTCACATTCCTACAAACTTAAAAACACCAAAATAAATAAACATTTAACCTTAAATAATCTCTGAAAAAGTAAATGTCCTTAGTGCATAAATGCAGGTAGAAGTTAGAAGAAGGTGGCACACTCAGTTTTCTGGTTTAAAAACATTAACAGGTTGTCAGTTCAGTGTTTCTCTGCCTCTCAGGTTCCTGCTTTGTAACCAGAACCCTGACATGTGCTGTCCTGGCTTCAGACTACAGGGATGTCATCCATATCTTAGTATGTTTCTGAGTGAATGAACTGGGTTGAAAAATTCTAATTTAAATATGTATTGTGACATTTCTCGATGTGGTGGAAATGGTTTCTAAGAACACAACGAGCCCAGAATCTATTTTTGCACACTCCCACTGTCTGTGTCACACTCGCATGACAATAAACAGCCACAGTGTGGCAGGCTGGATGGATTATTCAGAGTGGCTGTCTTGTGTCAAGCCCTTCTTCTCCAGGCTTTGTCCTCTAAAGGACATCTGGATTGTAAAATCATGCAGCCGCTCCAAGTTTTACAATCAGACTGTGATGTATAGAATGTGCTGGGGAAAAAAAGAGTGAGAGCACCATGAAAAAGTGAAGAGACTGACCTACTTTTCTCTCACCTGTACAGCACTGGTGTAGACAGTGCTGCTTTACCTCAGTTTACCAGAAGATGGTAGAATAGATCAACTATCTGAAAAAGGTCTGCATGCAAGTGCCTCTGTTGTGCAGCACCACATAAAATCTCATTTTCAAATGTGAATGTGTAAAATTCACTGAAGTTGGACGAAGTTGTGGCCTCTCAACATGTGAAAATGTGTTTGACACCCACTCACTAATCAGGTTCATTCAGAATGTACTTTGTCCTTCAGTTTAGATGATGGTGATGTTTAGACCTAGATTTGTATATATTCTTTTAACAATGCTCATATAATATTTCCTTATAAAAAAACGACATGTTTGATGGAAAATATGTTTCTTTCAAAATGACATGTTCAAAAGCAAGTCACCAATGTTTAATTTGATGTTTCAAACACCCCTGAAAACGGCTTCAAGAAATGACTGTTAATCTGTCAAAATTAAAGGATTCAACATTTTTTTAATTAAAACTTTTTTTAAATGCAAACATTGGAAAAGTCAAAAAACCCTAAACATTCAAAATTAAAACTTAAAAAATCAAATACATTGAAAATTCTACAATATCAAGATGTTATTTCAACAGGCTGACGTAAAACAGTGAAGCTGCCATATGTAAAATTGTAAGAAGTGAGAGGAGGAGTGATCCAGTATCAGTTTGAGTGAAGTTCACATGTGAGTTTCTGTCCAGGTCATTAAGCTCAAAATTGGACTAAACCAAGCTAAACTGAGTAGAGGGGTGATTACCTGTGTTGAGAGTCGTTTAGTTTCTTGTTTTCTGTCATTTGAAGTTGTTTTTTCGTTCAATTTTTGTTGTATTTCATTAATAAAATATTATTATGCTTTATATTCTGGCACTTGATTATTGTATCGATGGGATTACTCACTGGACTAATCACATGGGTCCCCTCTGCTGTGAATATAATGGGAGGACCGTGGTTGTATATATAGAGGCTGGTGGAAGCCTGCTTCAGATGAATGTCCTGGTGAAGAGTAAGCTCAAGAAATATGTTCTTCTACTTTGCAGCTTCCTACTTGTTATTTATAATTTGTTTTTCACAAGAATTCTGTTCACAAACTGTCCTCACTAAAATCTGATATTTCCCATCACTAGGCTAAATCCAGCATCTTCTAATGTCACAACCATGATCAAAACGATCAGCTTTATTTGCTAAGTACATTTGCACACAAGAAATCTGACTCCAGCGTCCAGTGCCTCTCTGTGTACAGGAATGAACCCCCCCACAATGGTTGTATTCATTGCCATGAAAGGATATTGTGCTCAGAAATTAGTGTCAACCAGACAGTGGGCTACCAGTGTCCTGATTTTATCACCGCTGACCGATTCTGCTTCAGTGCTTTGTGAAGGGAGACAGCCTCTGACACAAACTCTCCATGCCGGAAAAACTGGCTGAGAATCTAACATTCATAGGCCCGGGGGCTTCTGAGGACATGACATACATCAACTACAATACATGAGCTTACACAGGAAGTGGATTGTGTGATGGCTAAACCTGCGTTTGAGGGCATTTGGAGAAAAGAACAGAAGTATGCTTTCTGTGCCTGCATGTTCTGTGTTCTTTTACAGATTTATGAGGAATCTTAAGGCTTAAGCATTTGATTTAACCTGTCATAATGTTATTTTTTTGTGTTGTCAGTGACAGGTTATCACTTTTTAATGCTGGTTATTGTATTTGAAATGGGACTCAATGTTAAAACTCAGCATGTCTCATCCTGCAAGTGTAAATCGGTTTATTCTGGTTCCTCAGCTATCAGCATCTTCAACTTTATAAACAAACAACAGCATACTATGACTTCCTGTAAGTGGCCATCTTTGTGCACCGTTGTGTGGCAGATGGAGAAATGAGCAAGCTGTGCTCTAGCTCAGGAAGTAGCATGTCCAATCTAAACTGATTCACATCATAACCACAAATGCAAACTGGGCCCATGTGTCCCTTACATGTGCTCCCCTTATTGCTCTAATTGTACTGCTGATCTGATCTGTCCTTATCGACCAACACTTGATGACGGCAATGTAGATGCTGGGTTCAATGAAACTTGAACTCGAAGATAGTAATCCTTTCAAGTGTCCCAGTGAGATGTGACAAGGAAACCAAAGCAGCTAAAATGGAATTCCATCTTTAATGGTATTATCTAGAGTCTAATGGTTTTTCCTATAGTGTTTCTGTGGGATGAACCACAAGAAAACTAAAAATGGACTAAATTTATTTAAAAAAATGTTGCTGGGCACCATCCTACCAACAGAGGGCGTCAGAGAGTTTGGGTTTTAATCTTAATCCAAGGCAGATCCAGCTCTGCACAAATTCCCCGCGCTGTCCAAAATGACGTCAGCGTCTTCTCCCACCAATCAGGCCTGCTGCATGCAAAGCTCGTCTGTGCTCAGGAAGATGCAACTCTACACACACACACACACACACACACACACACACAC